ACACAAAGATGACAAAGACTCATTTTTAAGTAGGTAGATTGAAAAATTTAAAACCATTCCTAGTATCAGTGCATGTGTATGTAATGAGAAAAGCGTGTTTTTCTATTTGTGTCAAAACAGGATTTACTAAGAATTTGGATATTTATATTTCAGCTTAAAAGGGCCTTGGAACAACTTCAGGAGGCACTAGCAGAAAAAGAAGAGCTGAGGCAGAGATGCGAAGAACTCGATATGCAGGTACATAAATGAAACCTGAGCAGAGAAAAACATTCTCTTATACAACAAGAGTTTTTTATTTTAATCAATTAATTGGCATTGTGTTTTGTAGGTTGGATTTTATTTCTTGGAGGGATGAGGATTTCTTACAGGCTTGAATGTTCAAGCATGGATTTCATAAATATTTTTCTCTGGCAGTTGAAGATTGCTGGCCTAACTCTTCCTTTGAGAAAATCATTCTACTGATTGTAGAATTTCAACTATTAGATGAGGATTCAGTTTTTTTAATTTTTTTTGTTTTTTGGTAAAATGGGAAAATTAAAGTTTCTTCTTCATAGTGTGTTCATGACTATTAAGTGAGGTAATTTACAGAAGTATTTAGTGGTGCCTGGCCCCCAATAAATTCAAGTACATGCTCTTTCTTTTTCTATCTCATACATACACACACACACACACACACATACATGAAGTCTCTCATGCCAAGTTTGAACACTTGTGTATATAATTCTTGTGTTCATATGCACGTACATGTTAGCAAAACAGGCTTGCATGAGAACAATAGTTAGTGGTTAAGGGAGAAGAAGACTGTCAAACCAAGATACCTATATTCAGAATTTGGCCATGTTAGTGGCTGGATGTGTGCTCTTAGGCAATTACTTAATTTTTCTATACTTCAGTTTTTTTCTTTTGAGAAATGGAGTGATGATAGTGTATTATATCTCCCAAAGTGATTGTGAGGATTAAATGAGTTAATATATATAAAGCACTTAGGTGTTGGCACAGAAGTACCAGGTATATGTTTGCATATATTGTTGCTGCTATATGAAAATATAAATGTGAATGTTATGCAGTAAGGCTAGAAAACGGTTTACAAAAGGTTAAATGTACCCTCATAACATGCTCTATGTAAGTTGCATTTTTTGTTGAAGTAATGAGCTAAATGGTTCTCTGAAAAGTCTAAGGATAAGGAACAAAGGTTGTGGTAGCATTATCATTGCTAGATGAAGTAAATATCTAAAGTGCTGGGGCTGTGTAATATTCCTAACCTCAAGGATTTGAAAATAAAAGGGAAAGACATGGTCAGGGTGAGTAGCCACTTACGGCAGTGACAACACTAAAATTCAGGTCTTCTAACTTCATCTTTTATAATCAGTCCTCATTATTTGAATAAAGCAAACACCACAAGTATAGGAGAAATTCTGTGTGTTCTCCTTTGCATCCTTCCCAACTACACATTGTAACACACCCCCCCATACACATGCAAAACACCTGAAATGTGCTATTTTCAAATACGATCATATTTACTCTGTAGAATACTACATAGGAAGGATAGAGGATTGATCCATTCAGGTATTGCCAGTCTTGTAGGATCTCTGTGCAGTTTTCTGAGAAATTCTTATTCAATAAAGAACATAAAATTCTACATCAAAAGACTTAAATGTTTCTCATAATTAATGAAGAGTATATGATCGTCTGGTTTTTGTTGAAAAGTACAGAAATCCCAAACAGAGAGGGACAGAGGCAGGTGCAGAGTGAGCCTAAAGACTATATCACCATGAGAGCTTGTTAAAGGAGATTCCTGGAACCACCACCCAGCATTCCAAGTCATGGTTCTGGGGTGGGTCCAAGGAATTTGTGCTTTTAACAGCCCCCCTCCCTCAAGTCTGTGATGCAGGTAACTCTGGAACCACATTGAAGCATGGACAGCAACAAGGTTGGTTACTCACCAGGTGTTCAAAACTAAATTTTGCTCCTGTTTCTCTTCCTTCTCCAGGAGATTCCTGTTTAGTTTTGAAGACTGGGGGAATTATCTCTCCTCTGTCAATAATTTTCTGACAGCCCTACACTCAAGCTAGAATGAGATATTCTTTTCTTTGTACCCCATCCCTACCCTATAGTGTGCTTCTCTCAAAGCACCTTCAACATCTTTTATGTAATTGTTTACTTTTCTACTGTAAGGGTCTTAAGGGAAGAAACTCTTATTTTTTTTTT